GAACACTGTGAGCTGGAACACTCTGAGCTGGGAACACACTGAGTTGGAACACTGTGAACTCGGACACACTGAGCTGGAACACACTGAGCTGGGAACACTGTGAGCTGGGAACTGTGGACACTGGGAGTTTCAGAGCTGGGGACCTATAGGGAAAGCTCCCGCTACAGTCAGCCGGTGGCTTGGCACAAGTGGCCTCATGGATGCTTGTTCTTTGTGCTAAAAGTGCCTTGTGGTTTGTGGGAGAGTGGATGCTACCTGTACTTACTCCCCACAGCTTTCTTCACTTAGTATACAGTCTCATCAGTCTCCTTCTTGCTTGTCCTCTAGCTGTGAAAGTGAAAGTTCCAAGTCCCTAAAACTCAAAAAAGAAAAAAGTCTTAAAAGGCGAGAGATTGCAGGCTCTGAGAGCAGGCACTAACGGGTTCTGTCCCCATCTGTGTCCCTCGGAGCACGGCAGTGTGTCGCGACAGTGCCCGTGTGTTTTGTACAACATTGATGTCAGACCTTGTCATTTGTAAGTTCACTTTGCAAACAGGAAAACCAAGTTACCGAAAAAAGAAAGGAAACAGAAGGGAATCCTGAAACATAGGTGATACTGTCGAGTATGCGTACAGTGTGCAGCCGAGTACAGCCCTCCTGCAGTGTGCAGCCGAGCACAGCCCACCTTGGGCCACTTGCCCCCCCACAGGCCTTGGACTGGATGGTTGTCTAAATCATGTGCAGTCACTGTTACATTGTAAAACAGTGTAAAAGCACAGATGTTGTTATAGTCCCAGGTCCTCAGGAGGCTGAGGCACAAGGATCATGTGAGGCCAAGAGTTCTAGTCCAGCTCAGGCAGGGAAGGGGGAGCTTCCTGTGTTTAGTGGCTCTGAGAACCCCATCTGTTCAGAAAGGTTAACAACAGCAGCGCAGTGATGTCTGTGCTCTTTGTGCAACCCCGGGAGCCTTTGTCAACAGCCACCTGCTTCCTCCAAGGTGTGGGCAGCGGAGTCGGAAGCAAAGCCCCAGCCACCCACCGACTTTGTCTGGGAGGAGCAGAGCAGGTTCCGAACCAGTCCGGACTGCACAACCATCCTGTGCAACCCTCAGGGCGAGGTGAGTGTCAGGGCTCTGAGCAGGAGCCGCTGGAGGCCCAGCCTTCCTCTTCTGCTCTCAGCCCTGCTCTGCTGTTCTGAAAAGCCTAGCTAGAACACCCCCAAATTTCATAGCGCCTTAAGTGGCCCAGGATGCTCACAGCGGCCAGCAGGAGCTAAGGTGTTGGTGTTTCTGGAGGCTGCTGCCAGAAGATGACAATGCAGCCATTCCTGATGGGATCTGATAGACTGAGATCAGAAGGAAGGAGAGGAGGACCTCCCCTATCAGTGGACTTGGGAGGGGCAAGCGAGAAGAAGGGGGAGGGAGGGTAGGGCTGGGAGGGGAGGAGGGAGGGGCTTATGGGGGGATACAAAGTGAATAAAATGTAATTAATAAAATAAAAAAATGAGGTACAGAGCCAAACAGGGAATTTTCAACAGAAATATCAAATGGCAGAGAAACACTTAAAGAAATGCTCATTGTCCTTAGTCATCAGGGAAATCAAAACAACTCTGAGATTCCATCTTACACCCATCAGAATGGCTAAGATAAAAAACTCAAGCAACAACACATGCTGGAGAGGATGTGGAGAAAGGGGAACCCTCCTCCGTGGCTGGTGGGAGTGCAAGCGTGTACAACCACTTTGAAACTCAATCTGGTGATTTCTCAGAAAATTGGGGATAGCCATACCTCAAGACCCAGTTACACCACTCCTAGGCATATACCCAAAAAAAACATATATCAAACCAGGACATTTGCTCAGCTGCTGTTCATAGCAGCTCTATTTGTAATAGCCAGAATCTGGAAACAACCCAGATATCCTTCAGTGGAGGAATGGATACAGAAATTGTGGTACACAAGGGAATACTACTCAGTAATTAAAACAAGGAAATCATGAAATTTGCAGGCAAATGGGTGGAACTAGAAAAGATCATCCTGAGTGAGGTATACCAGAAGCAGAAAGACACACGTGATCTATACTCACTTATAAGTGGATACTAGACATATACTATAGGATAAACATACTAAAATATATAGACCTAAAGAAGCTAAACAACAAGGAGGATCCTAGGGAGGATGCTTAAATCTCATTCAGAAGGGCAAATAGAATAAACACCGGAAGCAGTAAAAGAGACTGAACCGCACAGGGACCTACCACAGAGGGCCTCTGAAAGATTCTACTCAGCAGGGGATAGAAGCAGATAGACTCACAGCCAGACTTTGGGCGGAGTGCAGGGAATCTTATGGGAGAAGAGGGGAATAGAGAGAACTGGAGGGGACAGGAGCTCCATAAGGAGACCAACTAAGCCAACAAATCTGGGCCCAGAGGGGACTACAGAGACTGAAGCACCAACCAAGGACCATGCATTGAGAGTACCTAGACCCCCTGCTCGGATGTAGCCCATTGGCATCTCAGTCTCCATGTGGGTTCCTGAGTAAGATAAGGGGCAAACATGGACTCTGTTGCCTGCTCTTTGATCACCTACCCCTGAAAGGGGAGCAGCCTTCCCAGGCCACAGAGGAAGAGGATGCAGTCAGCCCTGATGAGACTTGATAGGCTGGGGTCAGATGGTAGGGAAGGAGGACTCCCCCTTTCTCTGGCCTTGGTAAGTTGAGTCAGGAGCACCTGGCAAAGTTTTAACATCCTCACAAATAATGCCATCATGTGAGGACCAGTGTTCAAAGCACAAGAGGAGGTGACATTTCAGATTCAAACCATTTGTTACAGACTATATCTCCTTTTCAGGCCTCCTCGAAAAGTTCCCGACCCACCTTTGGCCTACATCCCATTGGAAAAACTCAGCTGTGATAAAGAGCAATAAGACTCTTTTTCTTCAGCTAGGAAATAAACCCTTAATAAGAAGGCCAAGAAGTGCCTATATCCACATGAGACCCTAATAAAAACACACAGCCCAAGAAAGAAAGAAAGAAAGAAAGAAAGAAAAGGAAGGAAGAGAAGGAAGGAAGGAAGGAAGGAAGAAGGAGGGAAGGAGGGAGGGAGGGAAGGAGGGAGGGAAGGAAGGAGGGAGGGAGGGAGGGAATGAAGAAGGAAGGAAGGAGGGAGGGAGGGAAGGAGGGAGGGAAGGAAGGAAGGAGGGAGGGAGGGAGGGAGGGAGGGAGGGAATGAAGAAGGAAGGAGGGAGGGAGGGAAAGGAGGAAGGAAGGAAGGAAGGAAGGAAGGAAGGAAGGAAGGAAGAAGGAAGGAAGGAAGGAGGAGGGAGGGAGGAAGGAAGGAAGAAGGAAGGAAGGAAGAAGGAAGGAAGGAAG